AAGAAAGAACAATGGATTTGGGGAGAGAAGATCTGGTTTTCATTTCTCCTCTACTTATTACCTTTATGACCTTGGACAAGACTTTTAGAATATGGTTTCCTCATCTGAAAAATGGACTACATGATGGATATGAACTACATGGACTAAGGCTCCTGCTAGCTCTTAATTCTAGGTGGTGATTTAAGGCGAGAAAGCACTTTTTCATACTACAACTCTGTGAGGGAGACAATGCTGCAAATATTACAATCACTATTACACAGATGAGGAGACCAAGCCCAAAAATATAACGTGGCTTGACCCGGGTCATACAAAGAGTATCTGAGACCAGATTCAAACCTCAGTCTGACTACAAACATCATATTTTGTCACTATACTTTATGGCCTTACTGAACGCATGTGCTCATGAGTGAATAATTTCATGTTTCTAATTGTTTCACAGTATCATAGAATTTCAGAGTTGGGAGAGACCCCAGTGGTCATCTAGTCCAACGCATTCCCAAGCAAGAATCTCCGCCACTTCCAGAGGTAGTTAATCCACCTTTTGGACAGCCCTAATTATTAGGAAGTTTTACAAGATAAAGTTTCCTCTTTACAACTTCTAGTCAGTAGTCCTCATCCTCACCCAAACCAAACAGACCAGATCTAATCCTTCTTCTGTGTGGTAGACCTTCAAATAATATCACCCCAAACCAACGTTATTGCCTGAATGATAGGTTTTATTCACAGAGCTTGTCAAATCCCTCATTTCCTCTCTTTGGTTTTCCCTTGCAGGTATCAACACCTTTAAAGGTCAGTACTTTCACAGCCGGGAGTACAAGCATCCCGATCTGTTCAAGGATAAGAGAGTCCTTGTGATTGGCATGGGGAACTCTGGCACAGACATTGCTGTGGAGGCCAGTCACGTGGCTAAAAAGGTATGGACCTTCAGGTTACTAATTATAATTAAAATGTCATATAAAATGTGCTGATGTGCTGAATGGCCTTTTAAAAACGTAGCTTCCCTTCATTATTGGTCAATTTCATTGTAATTTCTGAATTTATTGTTTCTCTAGAGAGGAAGGAAGGAAAGTAGGAAGGAATGGAGGAAGGAAGGAAGAT